CCGAACCGGTTAGAATATTCTTGACCGGTTCCAACTCTTGAATGAGACTATACTCTTCCCTTCGAGCCATAGTTCAAAGTTCGACAGTAAAAGTTTTTTTTTTCGAAATAAATTTCTCAAAGACATAGTACTGAAAGTCTGTGTATTAATTTATTTGACAGCATATTTAGAGTTTGAGAATAGTGTGACGTTTTCTATAGAGGACAGATGTATTCAGAACGAATGAAAAAAAATTCAAGTTTTTCTTTTTATTATCTTCTTCTCACCAATCATTGGATTTTCGAGTTGATACTCATGTGAAAGATTGTCTGCCATTTATCAGTTATTCCTTCTTGGTGAACTTATAAACGTAAGAATCAATTGAAAATATTGCAGTCTTCTCATTAAAACTGTTTATTTAACTATTTATGTTAGCAGCTAGTTGATCTCTTTTATGAGTACGTTCTTATACGATGATCATGGACGAAAGCAAAAAGAAGTACAAATTTAAGTTACTTGATAATCAAAAGTTCAGAAAATATGAAGAAATAACATATAAACATGAAACATGAACAATTAGGGTAAGCAATTGCTAACTCGTTGTTTGCTGGTGTGCCGTCCATGCTCTCAGTAATAATTGCAACTCTTATCTTTAAACATTATAAGACTAGTCATATATTATTAACATTTTCATAATTCATTTTTCTTAATGGTTTACTATTATTAAAATTTGATAACTGATTTTTCGTTTGTTTTCTATGCTTGTGTTGGGAAAAGTTGAAGGACAATTTTAAGAACTTGTTCTATTCATATTTATTAAAAACAATAAAACGAGGAATTATGTAAACATGACTCTAAACTGATTAGGAGATTATTCTATTTTATGATAATACCATAGTTGTTCATACTAAAGTATAACAGAACTATATATCATATTTCGTTTGTAAACAAAAAACAAACAAAAAAAGACTTGACACTTGTATTCAACTAAAATAATAGAGTTCACTCAGACAGTTAATTCTTTTGAGAAAGAAATCTAAATAAAAATCTATTATTTTACATTTGAAATAGATAAATATTTTCTTTATACTACAAGTTAGAATTAGTTCTAAGAGTTTGAATTGAATCTTAAATGAAAAAATCTAAAGGCAAAATTCTAATATGTCAATTAAATCGTCTTCTTTTACTGTTCGTTTATCTTTTTTTTTCTCATATTTTCAAATATGAATCAATGTTAAATTTTTCTTTCTTATATTCAAAACTTGACATATGATACAATATTCAAATATTATTAATACGATTCTTGCAATTTCTTGTTGGTTGCAAGTTTTTTTCCTTTTAAGCAAGCTTTATATGAAAAACAAATCTTTTTTGAATTTATTTTTCGATATTATTTCTTGTACAAAGTATACATATAAATGAGAACTTCACTAATAACAATATATTGCATATCAAATGAACCACACGAAAGTAAAGAAGATACAACAAAAATTGCAGAAAAAAAATAAACATATACATATAAATGTGAATATATTACTCAACAAAAAGTAATATATTTTGTTTTATTTTTTCTATTTTAATATTGTTAATATTTCTTGTGGTAGAATATAATATCTGATTAATATTATCTATTATAATATTTAATTATAAGTATACTTTTATTCATATGTAAGTTTATTATTACGAACATATTCAATTCCAGAGAATTGTATATTTGTATTATCTCTACAAAAATTTTGATTCGTTGTAGTGATATCTTCTAATTTTGTTAATATATTACTTGTAAATAAACAACTATTTGTTGATGATGACCATGTATTTTTATCAAATATTAATTGACAACAGCTATCATCATACCAGAAATTATATTTAATTGTGCCAAAAATTTGTTTTTCAAACAAATATCCATCTTCTAAAGATTCTATTCGATGAAATATACCATATGAAAAATCATTAGTATAAGATCGTACAAATATATAAAAAAATTCATGAATCAAATTTACAAGTAATCTTGTATCCATCATTATTTTTGACCAAGTAGGTTCAGTTAATTTTTTTTTATCTTGATAAATGACATAATTTAATCCAGCTAAACCAAGTATAGGTAACTTAACATTATATACATTTAATTTATTTCTAATTATGTTTAATTGTTCAATTAAACAATCTTCATTTATATTCATATTATATTTATCATTACATGTTAACAATAATAATAATTGAAAACGTTTGGAATTGATAATAATATTTTTAAAATATTCTACATGAAAATCATTCATCATATTATTAATATAAATAAAGTTATTATTTTTATATTTAATCATGTCATGATAAATAATATTATGTAAACGAATATATGATTGTATATTACCTTTATTTATAATATCTTCTATTTGTACATTATCAACAAATAAACATGAATAATGAAATAATGATATTAATTCAATTAAATTTACATTTTTTTTACATAATATTTCATTATTATTTTCATATTTTAAAATATATAGTCTTAATGTTGTTAAGAATACATGAACAATTCTTTTTATTACTTTTATTTCATCAATTATATCATTGTGATTATAATAAAAAATTAAAATTTTTCCAATTGTCCATTGTAATAAACGATTGATATTTTGTAACGATATTTCTTCTTTATATGGTAAAAATATTTGATTATCGATTACAATTAAATTACAGCTTGGCCATTGTAATTCAATATCAATAGTTTCATCATATGATTTTATTTTTGAAATAATATCTTCTTGATTATAAATATATTTTAACAAAGTATGAAAATTCATTTTACTTTCTTTTATATCTAAAATTAAAAAAAAACCAATTTATTCATTTATATCATACATTAACAATTATAAGGTATAATTATAACTTATAATTTGAGTGAGTTACATATATCACCTTTTGAATGAATTGAATATCTGATCTCTTTATTGAAAAAAACAGCATGTATATATAGATAGGAGAGAGAGTAGACAGACTGAATAAGAAGTCAAGAAGCTTCCTTCGTCTGTTTAGATAATGAACAATAGAAAGAATCAAGACAATAGTTCTTATTCAACGAAGACGTCAGGCAGGAAGAGTAGATTAGACAAAAAATAACATTCACGCAACAGAAAAAGAAAAGAACAAGAGTATCCATGTATAATAGAAAGGAAGAGAAGTGAAGTAAAGTACTATGTAACAGAGTGAGAGTGACTGAAAGTAAGCCATTCAAAAAACAAAAACATATTTGCTTGTTTTATCAAAGGTACTTGTGGCAGAATGACTGAGATTGGGATGATCGATGTGTACAATTTTAGATTCTATTAATTGATGCTATGCTCGAATTAAAGGACGCTGAGAGTATTTTACTAGTACTCTGAAGAAAGTTCTTCTAATTCGTTTTCTTGCAATCGATTCAATTAGTATTTTATGCCTATTTTCCATTTTTTCATCAATTCTCAAGAAAATTTACAATTAGTTTGTCAAGTTCATATAATTTTTTCAATTGTTTGTGTTAGCTTTTCTATATCTCTTGTTTTCATCTAATATCTTGATGCTTATTCCATATTTGAAATGTTTTCTCAATATCTTTGATAAAGTCTAAAAAATTTATTCAAACAGAATTATTGTTGAATTAACTAAATACTTTAGATAGCTCGAGTAGAAAATTTCAAAGTTTATGAAATTTAACACAAAATGAAGATACAAAACATGATGGTTGTCATCTACTTTGGAGTAGGTTACATTGCTTTTTCTACCTAAACTTTATTCAATCATCTGGTAGAATAGTTTTCCTCGAGGAAGCAATGTCATATTTTATTAAAATGCACTCTCGACAATAAACTATTGGTAAATGATTTTTTTGTCACATATTAATCTCAGATATAAGGTATCTATTAACATAAAAAAGTCTATGAAAACATATTCAATTAAAAAATTTCCTTATTCATACTATTGCATTAGACAGATTTTTTCATTTATAATGTGCTATATCAGCTTATAAGTAATTGTTTCGATATATATGTTAGGTAGCATTCGTACTACATAAAATTTCAATGTAG